GAATTATTTTCGATATTAAAAAAGAGAGTTAACAAAAAAATTTTTTTTTGTGATGAAAATGATTCGAAAAAGCAAAAGCTTTTTTGAATCATTTAAATCGGATTTTTCGTTTCTTTAAAAACTCGGTTTCTATCTCTGCTTCGTATCTCCGACCTGTCTTTGTGAAAAACTAATCAGAACGTCTCCCCATCAGTAGGAATCAAATGTTCCTTGAATTATTCAAGAAATCGTGAATGAAAAATTTTATCACATTCATACACGAAATACAACACGAATACACAGACACACATATTAATTTTTTCTGTATTTCTAAATGTTCTGAAACCTTCGAAACGTGAAGATGTGCAAACAATTTCGATTGCGACTTTTGAACGATTACAATAACTTACCCTACGGAAAGTTAAAAATATACACTGAAATTAAATTCATTTAAATCGTCACTATATTATAAGTAAATGCAAATTAGCTTATACAAAATTAGTTAAAAAAACACGATCTTTCGCATAAACCACACAAAAAATAGAAATATTATATAAATAATATAATTTTCGAAATAATTTAATAAATGCATTTTATATACTTTCAGTAATAATTTTTGTAAATTACTGAAGTACTATATAAAAAAACTTCTACATCAAATGACGTATAATTTAAAAGAACTTTAAATAATAATAACGCAAAAAATTCTGATAGCCATTTCATATTCTTTTTAGAATTGTAGTACTGATAAAGATTGGTCGCATTAAGGGCTTTATTATCACAATGTTACAACTATCATTAAAAAAAAAGTTTCTTGGATTTGTTGAAACTACAATGTTACATTATATCATTACTTTATATGTATACATATAACTATAAAATAAATATTTTCGCATTCAGAATTTCTGAAGAATCGTTTCGGGGGCAACGCCCACTGCTTTGCGTCCGAACGAACTCTATGCACTTGCAGGGTACTATTAGCGTTATGCGCGGGTGTACTGGCTCCGGTTTTTTCAATTTTCCAATGTGTTCCACCAAATTGATTTGAACAATATTTGCAGTACTTAAAGAAGAAACATTAGGCTTTCGAATAACGCTAATTAGAAAGTGGTCCAACTAAACGCACTGCACGAAAACACCAATTGAAAAATTATTTTGTCTTTTTCAGCTAATAATAAACAATTTTTTGGCATCGATTGTTCTACATAATGTGGTCTGAGCCAATGTGAATAGAATCCCGTAAACATATTTTCGATATCTTTTATGGTTACGCGAAAAAGTGAGTTTGAAAGAAGGGGCCACTTTGGCATATTTTCAATGATATCTCGGCCATAAGATGATATACAAAGTTGAAAATTGGTATATTTGTTTTTATCATTTAGACCTATAAAATGGCGTATAAATTATTTAAATACCAGGGTGGGGCCGATTCTGTATGGCAAGGCGCCCATACCCTTTGCACCGTGATTGCTTTGAAGAAGAAAGTTATAAGTTTTCAAAAAATTTCAAGGCAAAAAATTCAAATTTTTCAAAAAAAAATTTTTTTTTCAAAATTTTCAAACGGTATAGTTTTAATAATTTGGTAAGGAATCCAGCAATTTGTCACTAGTTATTAACTTCCCGTAGGGTAAGTTATAGTAATCGCAAAAAAATCGAAAATGAAAATTTTTATATATCTTTACGTTTCAGAGGTTTCTGAACATTTTGGCATACCTTAGAAAAAATGGATGTATGTGTGTGTGTGTGTGTGTGTGTATGTGTGTGTGTATGTGTGTGTATGTATGTATGTGTGTGTATGTATGTGCGGATACAAATTTTCGTCGACGATTTCGGGAACACGGATCAACCGATTTGAATAATTCAAAAAACATTCGATCCGTATTGATAAGGAGACGTGCTGATTAGTTTTTGGCAAAGGCAGGTCAAGCCGTTCCGAAGATACGGGGCAAAAAGTTCCGAAAACGGTAACTCAGTTTTTAAGAGAACGGAGCGTCCGATTTGAATAATTCAAAAAACATTTTATTTGTATTGACAAGATGAAGAATTGATACAACTTTCATAAAGGTAGGTCCAGCGGTTTCGGAGATATAGAGAAAAAGTAAAAAAATGAGCCATTTGGCGGTCAAAAATGATCATTAGACATATGCACATCAAATTATCAGATATTTTATAGAGATTTTAACAATAAGTATACATTTTGTTAACATTCCTATGGGTTCCGTACCAATGCTTATGCGTTAGACAGCGACGCGGCGCTTACGCGCTTTATATTTTGTCCCTATGTAGTTAAAGCAGTACGATTGCTTTGAAAAAAAAGTTCAGATCTTCCACAATATGTCAAAATAAAGAAAAAAAATTTTTTTTTTTTGAAAAAAATTTTTTTTTAAAAATTTTTTTTTTCAAAAAAAACTAATTTTTTGTCCAATTTATAGTTTCTCAAAAATCTTATTTTTTCAAAGTAATTTTTTTTCAAAAATGTTAATCGTTTTTAAAAAAAATAAAAATTTTTGGTACGGGAAGTTCCAGCAATTTGCCTTAAGGCACGATGCCCTAATTGCCTTAAGACAGAATTCCACTTACAGCTAGTTCTCTTTTTATTAAAGTGAACAAACATGGTTTCTATTGCTAATTAATTCAAATACATTTGATATAAGAGAGAAAAAAAGCAAGTTATTGGAGGCTATATTTTGAGTTTAGTTCTAAAATGCACTTGTAATTATTTAATGCAATCAAATAATGTTTTATGAGTATAATTGGAAGTGCATTCATATTTCTAATAAATTCATGAACTTTCTTTCGAATCGTTTTATCCAATAGTTAAATTTATTTTGATCAATGACGTATTTGTATGGTCACGAAGAATGCTGCCCACATCCCCAATCTAGTAATGAATACTAATTTATTAGTCACTTCAAAGAATATGTGTTATGAATATAATTTCTTCTATAAATAGAGGTACCACGCAATGAACGATAAACGATCGATGTTATCGAAGGAATTACTGACTAGCCACGTCTAACAATGGTTAACTTTACTATGTTCATAGTAACATTGATAAAATTATAATCCATGTTTGATAAGATAAGAAAATTATAATAGAGTTCAGGAATGAATACTGTATTTCCGAATGTAAATGAGGTATTAAGGTTATTATTTTTTTATCTCATTACATACATTGCTTCTTTATTTTATAATTTAAGATTTGAAGAACTAACAAGTTTTTAACAATTTTTTTTTGTATGAGAATTGTTCCGGATCCTCTTAAAGCCTGGTTTTCTAAGTCGGGTCCGAAGTTGTTTTAGTAATAATTCAGCAAGTAAAAGTAAAATTAATTAAACTCGTATCGGCTTCCAATCGAAATGAATTAAAGCATTCAAATAGCTCAATATACCATTATCACAGATTTTCGATAACATGTCAAATACTTCATAATTATTATTAATAATAGTTCGAATTTTCCTTGGATGGATCGATTACTCTATGTTCTCGTAGAAAAAAATATTTAGGAAGTTATTACTAACAATTGTAACGTCACATTTTAGTACTATTATTGTATCTTATATAATGCATATTTTCAAAAAATTTCATATCCACTGATAAGATTTTTGTGACGAAAACAAATGGAGTAGTAGAGACGCTTTTTTCTATAGTCGTACATTCATTCTCGTCTAGAAGCATGAATTTTATGCAATTTTTGAATAAGTACCGAATAAAGGCAATCTACATTTTTACTATCCATTGTTTATAAGCTAATAATTAATGTTGTAAGAATTCAGAAAAAAATTGAATAAAAAAAAATTAAAAAAATAATTTTAGAAGGTGATGGAGTTTTGGGGTCTAAAAAAATTTGCATATGACCATACTTTAGATTTTAACCCTTCAAACAATTCCATTATAAAAATATATTAATCTACAAAAATGTCGCATTAGTATCAACCACCAAGTGTTTTGAAAAAAAAAATTAAACCTTCTTATTATTCTCGAATTTTTTAAACATAGTAAAAATTGATTCCATTTTCGATGCATCATACTGATAAGTCTATCAAGAAGACTCCGTAAAAGTTTAAACTAAATCGTTTCATTATAAGTTGAGAAATCGTGGGTATTGTATTGAAAAAGACAATTTCGAGGAATACGCGTTTAATGTTTCCTAGGAGAAGGAAACAGAGGAGGATCATCGTGATCAAATAGCTATATTTCCGAAAATAATTTTAATTTCGAAAAATTCTCTTGTACACATTTTTGAATAGTTAAACTTAGAAAATATATAAAAAGGGTTTTTAACTTCCATGAGAAATCGCAAAAAAAATCGAAAATGAAAATTTTTATATATCTTTACGTTTCAAAGGTTTCTGAATATTTTGGCATACCTGGCAGAAAAAATTGACGTGTGTGTGTGCGGATACAAATTTTCATCGACGATTTCGGGAAAACCGATCAACCGATTTGACTAATTCAAAAAACATTCGATTCGTATTGGTAAGGAGACGTGCTTTAGTGGATTAGTTTTTGGCGAAAGCAGGTCTGGCCGTTCTGAAGATACGGGGCAAAAAGTGCCAAAACGGTAACTCAGTTTTTAAGAGAACGGAGCGTCCGATTTTAATAATTTTACTTGTATTGACAAGATGAAAAACTGATTAAATTTTTGGGAAGGCAGATCCATGGATTCTCAATAAAAATAAGTTAAAAAAATGTCATTTGGCGGTCAAAAATGTTAATTGGACATATGCACGTTAAGTTGTCAGATATTTTATAGAGATTTTAATGTGTACACATTTTGTGTAAATTTTTTTGGGTTCCGTACCAAGATTTTTAATTACGGTACGAAAAGTTCCAGCAATTTGCCTTAAGGCACGATGCCATGCACCCCGCTAGATTTTTTAAATTTCTGAACTAGAATATCACCTTAACACACACATGAATATTTACATATACATACATAAAATATAATGTAATTGGATATAATTTAGAATTTAGTTGTCTAATCGTTATATATTCTGACCCTAATCTTTCCTTTACAGTGGAATCGCTGATTTACTGGCGTTGTCCGCGTAAGTCTGGCATCGTATTCGGCGTGTCCCTCGCCCTGCTGCTGGCGTTATCATGCTTCTCCCTAATCAGCGTGTTGGCGTACGCTTCCCTCACAGCCGTCTGCGGCTGCATGGCCTTCCGTATCTATCGCAACGTATTGCAAGCTGTTCAGAAGACGTCTGATGGCCATCCTTTCAAGTAAGTTTTATTATCATGAATTATAAGTATTGTAATATTTATATATGAATATAAACGATAGTAAATATTTGAGCAGGTGTTCAAAGCTAAACCTGTGATTTAAATGCTTTTATTTCTCAACAAAAACGTGATAACCATCATAATTCGGCATACGCTTAAAATTAAATGAATCAATTCCAGGTAGTAGCAAAAAATTCTTAATCGAGTTTAAAAAAGTTTCAACTAAAAGAGTTGAAATTTTGATACAAAAATATATTTTAGATTTTATACAATCCTGATTTCATTTGTTATTACAATAGTAGGTATGATCTATTTTGTGAGAAATTGATATAAGTTTCTGTAAAAATATGGTTGTTCTTATAATTATTAATTAGAAATTTTATTCATTTTTGTCTATTTTAAGCATGAGTTGGTCGTGGATTTTTGAATGGGCTTAAAAAGGGAAACATGAATTTTTCTATCAATTTTTATACGTTAATAAATGTTTTAAAATTATATGTTTTTAAATGTTTTAGAAATACAGAAAAAATTGAAAATTAAGAACAGTCAAAGAGTTTTAGTTTCAGCATGTTTTATGTATCTATATATTTCATAGGTGTTCTTTTTTTCTTAATTCGCCTTGTTCTTAGATTGAAAACCCCAATTTTCTAATCCCTTTGAATTTAAAATCCCATATCTAAAGAATTCATTTTGTATTTCCGTTTTTAATTTAAAAGTGCTTGTTAAAAGATTAACAATAAATTGAAAAATAATTATAAAACGAAAGTCGAGAAGTCCACAACTTCGATTTACACATATTTCAGCCATTAAATTTTATAGTAAGCAAGATTTCATAAAAGTCTTATCCTGTAAAAGCTTTAAATAAAGTGTAAGCAAACTTTTTAACTCATGGGGCGTATTTAAATTCAAAAATCAAGAATTCCACAAATTTCAATATACACATGTTACAGCCATTAAATTTTATGTTAAGCAAGATTTTATAAAAATCTAATCCTGAAAAATCTCTAAATTATGAATGAGCAACCTATTTGTCTTACTGGCTGCACTATATTGCAAAATTTTGTGGCGACCGCACTTATTAATAATTTACAATTCTTAATATATACTAATAAACATAACATATGAATAAAAAATTAAATAAGTAGATATTTCATAAGGAATGCAACAAGAAAAGAATACATTATATTATGGTGGGAGCGAGTTGTTAAAATAAATAAAATTCTATTTTAGCGGGGCGCGGATTGCTGATCCTTGCTCGTGATATATGCTTTTATAGAAATTTCACATAATTATATTCATACAAGTTGTTAAAATCGTATTAAGTACCTACTCATTGAACGATTAACGAGCCCTTAATTTATTAGTTCAATAAGGTCAACAAAATAATGTTGCATATAGTGCAGTAAACGGAGCGTTTTAGGTCTGAATTTTTTTACTGTGCTCCAAATTGAATGAAATTTTGGAATTATGATCATCTTACTTTCAAGTTTAAAAGTGAAAACAATTCGGGTTGCGCCATCACCTCCCGGGGGGGTGACACTCCTTCTAAATTGTGTAATTACATTTTTTCAAAATAACGTCGGAAGTCGATAGAAGAACTAATTATAAGAAAAAAATGTCTTATATAGTTTTTCAGAAAAACTAATACTTTTCAAGTTACTGGCCACTGAAGATTCATATATTTTTGGCGTTTTTCTTCGTTTTTTTGCAAATATCTGCTAAAATATACGTTTTAACGAAAATCATGTAATGAACAAAATAATATCAATAAAAATCTTAATAAATCGGTATTACATAAAGTGTTCTAGGAAAAATATTAAGCAAGATTTGAAAGAGCAAAGTCGTTTTTTATTTCGTTCAAGATTTAATTGTTGTATTTAAGGCCATCTAGTGTCGAGGTTTTACATTTTATGCATTTCGGTGAAATTGGGTTTTATAGTACTCAACATTAGCTTTAAAATGAGTGCTGTTACAAGTTTTTTGCGTGTAAAATTAATGAGCTATCATGCAAATAAGAAGCATATACGAAGTTTTTTTCTTTTAAATCATATGGTTTAATGAGCGCCATTTCCACCAGAATTAAAGTAATTCACTTTCCATCTAGAATTGACTTCATTATAGACATCTTGATGGATTCTAGCAGATTCACTACTTTATTACAAACTATTTTCAGAAAACTCACGATTTTATAAAAACTTTATTTTCCAATTTGCGCGGCCGCGCAGTCTTTAAACATTCATAACTCTGTCAATTTTTGTGTGAAAGAAAAATAATAAGAAACAATAATAAGCCAGAAAGATTCCCTTGATTTTTATCTATATGCTTTTATACGTATCTTTTATTCTTTTTGAGATATAATGAAAATAATTTCGATTTTTAAAAAAATTGGAAAAAAAAGTTTTTATAAAATTGTGAGTTTTTTGAAAATAGTTTGTACTAAAGTAGTGAATCTGCTAGAATCCATCAAGATGTCTATAATGAAGTCAATTCTAGATGGAATATGAATAACTTTAATTCTGGTGGAAATGGCGCTCATTAAACCATATGATTTAAAAGAAAAAAACTTCGTATATGCTTCTTATTTGCATGATAGCTCATTCATTTTACACGCAAAAAACTTGTAACAGCAATCATTTTAAAGCTAATGTTGAGTACTATAAAACCCAATTTCACCGAAATGCATAAAATGTAAAACCTCGACACTAGATGGCTTTAAATACAACAATTAAATCTTGAACGAAATAAAAAACGACTTTGCTCCTTCAAATCTTGCTTAATATTTTTCCTAGAACACTTTATGTAATACCGATTTATTAAGATTTTTATTGATATTATTTTGTTCATTACATGATTTTCGTTAAAACGTATATTTTAGCAGATACTTGCAAAAAAACGAAGAAAAACGCCAAAAATATATGAATCTTCAGTGGCCAGTAACTTGAAAAGTATTAGTTTTTCTGAAAAACTATATAAGACATTTTTTTCTTATAATTAGTTCTTCTATCGATTTCCGACGTTATTTTGAAAAAATGTAATTGCACAATTTAGAAGGGGTGTCAGCCCCCCGGGGGGTGATGGCGCAACCCGAATTGTTTTCACTTTTGAACTTGAGGGTAAAATGATCCTAATTCCAAAATTTCATTCAATTCGGAGCACAGTAAAAAAATTCAGAGGTTATACCCTTTTTTCCTCTCCGTTTACTGCACGCTGGCTGTGCGGCATATGTTTTTCATTGCACTTTTTACAGCTGAGCACGAATCTGAAGTCAAAATTGGGTGTCAAATGGCAATAAATTAAAATTTTTTTTTAAAAAATGACAAAATCTCCGATCTCGTAAATCTAGATCGTAAATTAATAACTAAATTGGAAAACATACCTACCGCACACTCAATACAGACAACTTTTCTTATGTTGACCTGTGGAATCAATGGCATAAAATAATGATTTACCTTAAAAATAGTTGCTATTACTTGGTTATTAATTGTAATAACCCTTACTTGTTACTTAATATTGATGTTTTCCTATTTACAGGGAGCTGTTGGAAACAGATGTCAGTGTGTCCCAAGAAAAAGCCCAACAGGTTGCCACAGTTGCCGTCACCCACCTGAACGCTGCAGTATCTGAGCTTCGTCGTCTCTTCCTGGTTGAAGATTTGGTCGACTCAACTAAATTCATTGTTCTTCTTTGGTGCCTCACATATTTGGGTGCTTGGTTCAACGGAATGACTTTAATCATTATTGGTATGAAAGCTTTTTAAACTTGGCATATATGTATTAACATGGGTCACAAATGTGATAAATAACTTGTACTATATAATTTTCATGAATTCATATTTTCAATAATTAAATAAATCTTGTCAATTTAGCTAGAAAACTCATTTGTCTTACCATTATTGTAAATGACGATATTTCATTAATTTTTTGTTTTAGCATTTGTTGCGCTCTTCACTCTGCCCAAAGTTTATGAAACTAACAAAACACAAATCGATGCCAATCTCGATGTCGTTCGAAGCAAGTTACAAGAAATTACTTCCAAGTAAGTCTTACAAAATTTTTCTATTCAAAACTTCAAAATACATAAGTTTTCTATGTATCTGATTTTATATTTTAATTCTAGGGTAAAAGCAGCTGTACCAATTGGAAAGAAAGCTGAAAGTGATAAAGATAAATAAGCACAAAAAATTATATTTATATAATAATGTGGATATTTAATTGTATAGCGATATACATAACTCTTCAAACATAACCACACCCTTTTTAACAATAATTAAATCAACTAAATATGAAATATATATTATATATGTTCGATTGTTTGGACATATCGAAAGCTATATGTGAATATTGCAAATCGAATTGATTTGTAGTATATATGGAATCAATTTTTTTTCATGATGAACCAATTACGATAGATTTATAGAAAGCCTTTTTATTTTAAATATTTACATTTGACACTAAAAATAGGTATCTTATAAAAAAATTTCATTTAATACATATAATATGTACTCATATATAATATTTATTATACATTCTTTTAAGAAATATGTTAAAGTTTTGTAAATATTACTTTTTAGTATTAGTTTCTATTTCAAAATTTGTTTGGTTGTAATTATTTTTTGTAATTGTCGTAAATTTTATTTTTAAATTAGTATGCAATTTCTCATCCCTTGTCATTAAGAATAATATATTAAAATAATGTATTGTTAAAAGTAATGTTATGAATTTTAACTTATCGTCATCAATACAAGTTATCATTAAATATCTATATAGTAGTTTATATTTTTGTAGTTTTATTTTCATTACAAACTAAATTCATTCATCATAATTCATGTCAAAGTTGTAAAATATATTTAACGTAAAAACTAAGTTTCAATATTGAAACTTTGATCTGTGGTGTGTTTTTGGTGCTTCTATTATTTGCTGCCTTTTCGATAAATTTTGAATTGTGATTTGTATGTTTATTTTAATAGCAATTCACAAATTCTATGTGTTGTTTGAGCTTCTTTAAAACTTCTAAATAACGTTATAATTAGTAATAGATTTATAATAGTTGCATATTTAATATATGGCACCATGTCAATGTTTTACACAATCACTGATTTATTATCTATTAAAAGAAAATGAAATTTAATTTGCATTCACTTGCAGAATAAATTTATTATCACATAGATTAAGAAATGAAATATATTAGGGTACATGTGAGTAATTTATAACTTTCATAGAAGCACTTACATCGGTTTTGGGATGTTTTAGTTGCAAATATATTTATTTATAGATAGTTAATATAAATGGTGAAACTGATTATTGATCAAAACATAATAAATTAATCGGTAGTAATCATAAAGCTAATATCCCCGTACTATTGCAGAGTGATTTGTGATTGTTGAGTTGGAGAACTTACATAAACATCACTGTCACTCAATACTATTTAATAACTTTTTGCATGTAACTAATAAGTAATTCATAATAACATTTGGAGCTGATCAATTTGACTTAATGAGTTAGTATTATATCGATTAAACATTTGTACAACTTTTGTATAAAAGCAAATATTCATTAACTTTGAAGCTTCAGTTTTAAACATGATTTAATTTCATAAATATGTTAACATGTAAATTAACTCATTAATTCATTGATTGAAACAAAGGTTATTTATCTTTGATAAGGTGTAATGAAGCATATAAATGAAAATAATAGATATTAATATTTATCATTATAAATTTAAAATTCATAGGTATTATGCTTTGTATACAATTTATTAAATAATTTTCAAAACGTGCTTATAATTAATCGTGTTATTTTATTATTAATGCTAACCCATCCTGTTCATAGATATTAATATTGGGAAATTAATCCTTACATTCATCATTACATTAATGTATCAAGATTTTCACACATGAATCTTAGATTATGAAGAAAAACTCACTCTCATTATATTGAAAATACAATTGTAATATAAGAATGCAGATAGAAAACAGATTCAAAACTTTTCGATTTCAGTCATTCATAAAATAATAAGTTTTAATCATGCAATTTAGTAATTTAGTAATTTAGTATTAGTTTTAGTATTTTTGAAGACAAATCTAATGCAATGATAAATGAGCACACAAAAAATTGCAATGGTAAATGTGGTTACAAAAAAGGTAAACTAAACATGCAAGAAAATTACATTTTACTTATTTTCAAGAAGTTTTTTTACCAAAATTTTATATATTTTTATAATATTCTGCAATATTGGTTCCGCAGATAAAAGAATAATAGTTTTATTGAAAAATAGATAAAATTGCAATATAAAAATGCAGATATAGAAGTCAATTACAAAAAAAAAATACAGTTTAAACATGCAATTCTGTAATTTAGCATTAGTTTTAGTATTTTTGAAGACCAATGGTAAATGAACACAAAAAAACTAAATGTGTAAGAAAATCACATTGAAAGATTTCCTATGAAAATTATACCAATTAATTTTCAACATGATTTTTACCAAAGTTTTATATATTCTTAAATAAGAACAATGGTTCTTATTTTTTATCAACTTTATACCAAAATTTTACATATACTTTTAAGAATATATAAGAACGGATCTTATTTAAAGTAAAATGTGAGAACCAACCTATAGATTTCCCGTTTACCATTATTTTTTATTCACTTTTATCTATGGACCAATATTGAAGAATATTATAATTATAAATGTTCTGCAATATTGCAATATAAAATGGTTCCGCATTTCTGTTATGTATGCCAATTAATTTTCAACATGATTTTTACCAAAATTTCACATATTCTTAAATTAAAAACAATGGTCCTTACTTTTTTTACCAAATTTTATGTATTCTTAAGAATATATAAGAAGGGATCTTATTTAAACTAAAATGTGAGAACCAATTGGTTCTCGAGAAATCTAGATTTCTCATTTATAATTATTTTTTATTAACTTTTATCTATGGACCAATATTATAGAATACTATATAATTATAATATTTTGCAATATTGCAATCTAAAATGGTTCCACATTTCTGTTATGTTAATTACAATGCTAATTAATTTTCGACATGTTTTTTTTACCAAAATTTTATATATTCTTAAATAAGAATCAAGGTTCTTAATTTTTTTTTTACCACTTTTTATACTAAAATTTTTACCAAATTTTTTATGTTCTTAAGAATATATAAGAACGGATCTTATTTAAACTAAAATGTGAGAACCAATCAAAAATTCTCATTTATAATTATTTTTTATTCACTTTTATCTATAGACCAATATTGTAGAATATTATAATTATAATATTTTGCAATATTAATATTGCATAATAATTATAAACGAGAAATCTATAGATTGATTCTCACATTTTAGTTTAATTAAGATTATTCAGTAAAAATTTGGTAAAAAATTTGGTAAAAAATTTGGTAAAAAATAAGAACCATTCTTACTTAAAAATATATAAAATTTTAGTAAAAATCATTTTGAATATTAATTAGTCTACATAACAAAAATGCGATATCATTTTATATTGCAATTGCAATATAAAATGATATCGCATTTTTGTTATGTAGACTAATTAATATTCAAAATGATTTTTACTAAAATTTTATATATTTTTAAGTAAGAATGGTTCTTATTTTTTACCAAATTTTTTACCAAATTTTTTACCAAATTTTTACTGAATAATCTTAATTAAACTAAAATGTGAGAATCAATCTATAGATTTCTCGTTTATAATTATTTTTCATTCACTTTTATCTATGGACCGACCAATTTTATATATTATAATTATAATATTTTGCAGTATTCCAATATAACATGGTTCTGCATTTCTGTCTGAAGTGCAACAATATGGTATTTGATTGACATCTTAGAATGGATCTGTATGATTAACAGAATTATTCAAATTTATCCTATTAATTAATTATAGGAATTCAAATTAAGAAGCAAATAGGTTGTTTATTATTGTTATAAAAATTATATTTTTAATTACGGTTAGTGACATCCATTATATTGTTATTAATTATTATTATATTGTCTAGGGTGACATCTATTAATTTTAATGTTTATCATGTTGTCACTCCGTGAATTGTTTGACCTTCGGCCGGCAGACAAGGTGGTTTCTGTCAGACGGTCTCACGTTGAGGAAGAGTGTTCTTGTGTTTACATTCCTTGCGCGTAGATTTCTGAGCTCAACAATCAAATCTTTTCTTTTAGTTATTTGTGTTTAATATAATGTGATTATTTATCCTCAGACATTAATAAGATAATTTAATTTATTATTACTTCAATCATGACCACTCCTCAGAGTGATATTGAAAAACGAAGACAGATCAGTGTGACAGGAATAGCCCAAGTGGAAAATGTACTAGAAGTGAAGAAGTCATTTAATAGACATCTCCATTATACTTTAGTTAAAGACAGAAATGTTGCTACACAAAGAGATTATTATTTCGCATTGGCACATTGTGTTAAGGATCATCTGGTTTCGAGATGGATTCGAACTCAGCAATACTATTATGAAAAGGATCCTAAGGTAAGATCATATTTGAAACTACTTATATTTGTGTCATGATCGTTTTGATGTCTTAGTAATCAAAAACTGGTTTCGACAAATATCGAAACTGGTTTTAAATAATATGTTTAGAAATCTATTTTAAATTAGAGCTAAATGCAAATATTATATAGTATTTCTTATTATAATCACTAAAATTTGCATGATTTTTTTTGCAAATGCTGTGTGTTTAATTTCCGCCATTTTAAATGTTTTCGAAAATATTTCAAAATGGATTACGTGTTTTGTGTTAAAAGTTAAAACGTTAATTTGACATTTTTGAACAGACAAATTATTTTCAAAAATGCCAATTGATGAAATTGATAGGGCAATTTTTTCTAATTAGGTATCTCATACATAATATTATGTACTAATGTAATACTATAATATATTATATGATTTATCATACAACAGAAAATTTAATAAGAGTAATTAAATGATAATTATCGATATGAATTATTTTACAGCGTTGATTAGCGAAATCACTGATATAATATACATATCTTTCACGATAACGATAATTGGGTAAAAAATTATTAAGTATATTTTGTTATGTTGTAATATATTAGGTCTTGTTTTCACTAATTATAAGATTCTATTTATGTATGTATCTGTAGTATTATCTTAGACCTTATACTACAATGTAGTATAAGGTATATGAGTATTTTGCATGTATGAATGAAAGGGCTTGTCACATTTTTAGACAATCGACTGAATCGATTTAATTTTGATAATTTGTAAATCCACTATATATAACACTATAAAATAAATTACAAGATGCCACTTTCACCAAAAAAAAAACGGCCACGGGGCTAAAAATGCTTGATTGGTCTAATCCAGGACTTCTTAAACTTTTGTCATTCGCGACCCCATTTATGATTGCGTGTTTCATGACGACAAATACGAAAGAAAGAGAAATTAATATTTGAGATGATCTATTTATTAGATAACATATAGATAAATACATATGAAAATATATGGTTTCAGAATTCGCTGTAAAATTCAACAAAAAAGGCGTAATGTTATAAAAGTAAACCCCCATAAATTTCCTTATGGGGAAATAGTTTATGAAGCCATGGTCTGATCTAATAGGTCTTGTAAACTGAGCTTACATATTTTTCTTAATGCTTATCTTACTCCGTATAAATATATGTAAAAAGTCTCACGAGATTCATGTTAAAATCTTATAAGATTTTTTTTCAGAGCAAACAATTTTACTAGTAGAACGCAACTTAAAATTTTTAATTGAGAACTCGATAAGCTTAACAATATAATAACCTAAACCATACCGGGACTAATTTACAATAATTATTTAGCAATTTTGATCACAATTTGTGGATTAAATTAAAAATCTAAATTTTTAAGAGTAAGAAATTTTTTCAATATTTTTAGTAATTAAAAACTTCAAATTTTTATAATAGTCCAATTTTCTCACAAACCTAAAATAATTTAAATTATTTTTGTTAATAAAACGAGTTTTACACTAGTTTATTAAATATCTGAAGCAATTGAGAATTTTTCATAAATTGCATTTATTGCATATGAAATTCTCGTCAAATAATTATTTTTTATGAACTCCAATAAGAGCAATTCTTATGTATTATATGAGCTCTTGTTTTGAAATTCCTTAACCAGGCAACCCAGTTGTCTTCTGATGAGAAGCTTGATATCAAGCTGTCTGAGATGGAAATAGAACCTGGAACCTTATTTTAAGGTTGTTTATTACATCTGAAGTTTTCGTCAAATATTTATTTTTTATGAACAGCGATAAGAACTACTCTTATGTATTCTATGAGCTCTTGTTTGCAATTCTTTAACCAGGCAACTTCACAGTTTTCTTTTAATGAGAAGGTTGCCCACTTTCTTTGGATTACTATTAAATATTTCTATTAAGTATGTTATATGCACATGTAGCAATGCATCATAAGGATATTTTTACTTGAGATCATATTCAGATCTATATTTTCAAGTGAAAACTGATATCACTTTTACTTGTGATCAGAAAGTTTCGGAGATGAGAATAGAGCCTAGAACCTTGTTTCAAGATTGTTTATTACATCTGAAGTTTTTGTCAAATATTCATTTTTTATGAACAGCGATTAAAGAACCATTCTTATTTATTCAATGAGCTCTTGTTTGCAATTCCTGAACCAGACAACTTCACAATTTTCTTTTAATGAGAGGTTGGCCACTTTCTTTGCATTACTATTAAATATTTCTATTAATTATGTGATATACACATATAGCAATGCAACATAAAGATATTTTCGCTTAAGAGCATATTCAGATTTATATTTTCAAGTGAAAACTTATATCACTATTACTTGTGATCACAAAGTATCGGAGACGGGAATATATCCTGGAACCTTGCTTCAAGGTTGTTTATTACATCTGAAATTTTTGCCAAATATTTATTTATTTTATGTAAACTTAACCAGGCAACCCACTTGCCTTCTAATGAGAAATTTGATATCAATCTGTTTGAGACAAGAATAGAAGCTGGAACCTTGTTTCAAGATTGTTTATTGCATCTGAAGTTTTCATCAAATTGTCTTTTAGTGAGAAATTGCCCACTTTCTTTGGATTGAGATTACTGTTAGATTTTTCTACTAGTCATACTAGTGATATACATGCAGTAACTTGATTGTTACATAACTTGATGTTTTCACTTGATATCATATTCAGATCTATATTTTCAAGTGAAAACTGATATCACCCTTACTTGTGATAGAAAAGTGTCCGAGACGGGAATAGAAACTGGAACCTTGTTTATTACATCTGAGGCTTTCGTCAAATATTTATTTTTTATGAACAGCAATAAGAACTATTCTCATGTTTTCTATGAGCTCTTGTTTGCAATTCCTTAACCAGGCAACTTCCAGTCGTCCTCTAATGAGACATTCGCCCACTTTCTTTGGAATAAGATTAATAATAATGGTAGTCTGCCCGAAGGCAGGTCCATGGTGTGAGAAACACCACAAACAAATGATTTCCTTACCCTCCGTCTGTCATTCCCATTACCACTATTCCCCCTCCCCTTTTTTTATTTCATGTATTTTCCTTTCCGAACTTCTGCTTTCATGCTTCTTGATACTGTGCTTCGGCATTCAGTTCTATGTATTTTCTCTTCTCGCGTAAGTCGTCAATCGTCTGCATTCTTCTTTTTCCCATTTCTTTTATTCCTTATAATTTACTCTCGACGATGTCCTGCAGGAGGCACTCTTTTTGCAAAAGGGTCCGATCCAGTTTCTTTTTCTTCTCAGGATTGTTCTCAGTAGAGTCCTTTCTTTGCCCACTCTTCTTCATTCGCCTCCAGCACCACATTTCAAAACTCTCGAGGAAGTTCGAATTGGCCTTTCTTAACGTCCATGTTTCTGATCCGTACAGAGCTATGCTCCAGACGTAGCACTTTATTAGGCTCTTCCGCAAGTCGAGACTCAGTTTGCTCGTCAGTAGCATTCTCTTATTTGTGAATACTGCCTTGGCGCTTGCGATCCTCGTCTTGTTCTCTTTCATGCAGTTTCCATCTCTGGTCAGTATGCTTCCCAGGTATTCGAAATGATCCACTCCTTCCAATTCTCAATTTCCTATCGTTATCCTCATTTTGTGATTCTCTTCACTTTCGACTTGTCAATGCTGATTTCAATTTCGTATCTTCTGCCCATTTCGACGATTCTGCTCATAATGTTTTGTAGCTCGGTTTGGTTTTTCTATATCACCGTACATTATGGTGGTGATTCTTCTTCCTCCAATCGAAAAATATCCTGTGCCTTCAAGTGCCTCGTTGACGAGCCATTCTCCGTATAGGTTGAATAGGATCAGGATTGTTCGCCGCACTCCTCTACCTATTTCAACGCTGTTTGTATCTATCTATCTCCCTGGTTCACTGGAACTTCCACTTTCTGTCCCATATACGGATTCTGCATCAGCCTGCGATCTCTCCAATCGACATTAATAGATCTAGTATAGGAAATTCCCATAAGCTTACTCCAGTTGACTCTGTCAAAATCTTTCTGACAATATAATATATAAAACAGAAGCATATGTTCTCGTTAACGTTGAGACATCTGTCCGACATTATTTGGAACGAGATTACTATTAGATATTTTTGTGTGAAATATACATGCAGCTATACTTAAAGATATTTTCACTTAAGATCATGTTCAAATCTCATATTTATATCAATATTTTGAATTATATCGATATTTTCAATAAAATTTGATAATACTTTTACTTGCTATCAAGCTGTTAGAGACGGGATTAGAATCTGGAACCTTGTTGTTTCAAGACCATTGGCTTACGGCATAATTTTACGTTCCGATAAACATGAAAAAATGCATATTTAGTTAATATAGACTTACCTCACATGTTTACTCATAACTCACATGACTAGAACAAATTCATTCTTTGTTTGAACAATATCGTCTTCATTTGGGTTCATATGAACCCGGGTTAATGCATAAATTTGATAAGTGAAATTTTAATGATACGATGATAGAATACTTTAGCTTTAAATATAGGTGCATCTCATCTCAAAAATCATAATTAATCAGGTGTTTAAAGCCTGTAGTACTTATACTTTATCCTTATAGGCGCACATCTCATAATGCTCTTTTTTGGTATGCATATATTTATTGTCAAACAAAATATACATTATTTTTTAAGACAATGTGCTGGTCTATTAACAGAATGTGAGGAAATTATTCTGAAACTGAATTTATATCATTATATCTCGTATAAGGCGTCATAACTAATTTTAATGTTAATAACAGTTATGCTATGATTCCTCAAAGTCGTCACAGTCAAAACATCGGTTTTGGATACGTTACACTATGACTTTACCATTTATAAACAGGAATATTTTGTATTGTTATACTATATATATAAGCAATAGATCTGAAATCATTATAGAAGCAATGATTCGAGTTCATTTTATGTAAGCGAAGACATATGTAAAAAAAACATCAATTAGTCCGCATTTTCACGGTTATTAAATCGTATACCACGATTTAGCGTAATCATCTTTACTATAATGTCATTGACTGTAATTGTTTCACACGATTGATTAAATTGATATTACAATGAAATTATAGCGTGTGTACTACTTATCATTGGAGTACTATATGGGCCGAACATTGCAAAATACTATGGTAAACTTGGGAATTCAAGGTGCGTGTGACGAAGCCATGTACCAGGTCGGTCTGGACATAGAAGAACTAGAAGAACTTGAGGAGGATGCCGGTCTTGGTAACGGTGGGCTGGGGAGATTGGCTGCTTGTTTTTTGGATTCAATGGCAACATTGGGATTAGCTGCATATGGTTACGGTTAGTTGGTAGTTCTGCTTTTTGTTCAAGTATTTTCGATAACTTTTATGAAACAGTTATGAAAGGTTGAGGAAACTAGCTCCTGGATTCATAAATCGTATTTGAAATTTATCAAATCAAGGTTTGTTTAATGAGTGAAGCTATATGTCTTTCTGTTACTAATTAACTACTAATTAAACTTTTCGATTGATTTCTAATTATCTAAATGCAATTTTTGCAGAAAATTACTATACACTACTTAACAATATAATATAATCTTTTCCATTTATCTGCATAATATATGTATTTAGGGATTCGTTATGAATATGGTATATTCGCACAAAAAATTCGTAACGGTGAGCAGTTAGAGGAGCCAGATGACTGGTTACGTTATGGAAATCCATGGGAAAAAGCGCGTCCTGAATATATGCTGCCTGTTAATTTTTATGGACAAGTTGCTGATTGTCCTGACGGCAGCAAAAAATGGATCAATACTCAGGTATTTTTATAAGTTTTCATCTACATTTTTTTTTATATGATATAGTATTTTGGCTAAGGCTTAAGCATTCGAATGGATTTTTAATTGTATATTCACTGATTGCAAGAAATTTATACAAAAATCTGAAACGGGAAATTTGATCAATTATGATAAATTAGTAATGTTACTAATAGTTACAGATTGAAGCAAAAAGTAGCTCAGCTATATTATTTTATTTAGGTGGTTTTTGCAATGCCCTATGATAATCCAGTCCCTGGTTATGGAAACAATGTGGTAAACACTTTGCGTCTTTGGTCAGCCAAAAGTCCTGTCGACTTTGATTTAAAATATTTTAACGATGGTGATTACATTCAAGCTGTTTTAGACAGAAACATTGCTGAAAACATTACTCGAGTTTTATATCCTAATGATAATTTCTTCGAGGGTAAAGAATTGCGTTTAAAACAAGAATATTTCCTTTGCGCGGCTACGCTGCAAGATGTAATTCGTCGATATAAAGCATCCAAATTTGGTTCGCGTGAGGCTATTAGAACCGACTTCGAATCCTTCCCAAGCAAGGTTGCTATTCAGCTGAATGATACGCATCCTTCTTTAGCTATTCCTGAATTAATGAGAATACTCGTTGATGTTGAACGTCTACCATGGGATGTAGCATGGGATATAACGTGCAGAACGTGCGCTTATACTAATCACACAGTTTTGCCAGAAGCGTTAGAAAGGTGGCCTTGCTCTATGTTAGAATCTATACTGCCTCGGCATTTGCAAATTATCTACCATATAAATTATTTGCATTTGCAAGAAGTTGCAAAATTGTACCCAGGCGACACTGATCGGATAAGAAGAATGTCGCTTATTGAAGAAGATGGCGTGAAACGTGTAAACATGGCATATTTATCAATAGTAGGATCCCATGCAGTTAATGGAGTTGCTTGGATACATTCTGAAATTATTAAAAAAGATATCTTCAAAGATTTTTACGAAATGACTCCTGATAAATTTCAAAATAAAACTAACGGGATCACTCCCAGAAGATGGTTGCTGTTGTGCAATCCTTCCCTTTCTGACCTAATCTGTGATAAAATTGGTGATGAGTGGCCGGTGCATTTAGAACAATTAGTGGCTTTGAAACAATATGCCACAGATCCTGTTTTTCAACATGCTATTATGAAAGTTAAACAAGAAAATAAGAATCGACTTGCCCAGTTATTAGAAAAAGAATATGGTCTTGAGATAAATACATCTTCTATGTTTGATATACATGTTAAAAGAATCCATGAATACAAAAGACAATTGTTGAATTGTTTGCACATTATAACTTTGTACAACAGGATAAAACGCGATCCTTCGGCTAAATTCACGCCACGAACGATAATGATCGGTGGTAAAGCAGCTCCTGGTTATTACATGGCTAAACAAATCATCAAACTAATTTGTGCTGTCGCAGAAGTTATTAATAATGATCCTATAGTAGGAAACAAGTTGAAAGTAATATTTTTGGAAAATTATCGCGTCACCTTAGCAGAGAAAATCATACCCGCGGCGGATTTAAGCGAACAGATATCAACCGCTGGTACTGAGGCGTCTGGTACCGGCAATATGAAGTTTATGCTCAATGGTGCGTTGACTATAGGAACCATGGACGGCGCCAATGTCGAAATGGCACAAGAAATGGGAGAGGAGAATATTTTTATTTTTGGCATGCGCGTGGATGAAGTAGAAGAGTTGCAAAAATCTGGTTATGATGCGCAATACTATTATGATAAAAATCCTGATATAAAACAATGCGTAGATCAGATCCGAAATGGTTACTTCAATCAGGAAAAACCCAATGATTTTGTGAATATAGCGGATGTGCTGATGAAATACGATCGATATTATCTTTTGGCAGATTATGAATCATACATAGAGACACAGGATAGAGTCAGTGCTACTTATGAGGTATGTATGAATTTTACATGCACTTAGTTCTATAATTTTGTTCGATGTTCTTAAATCTAATAGTTTTAAAGATTTTAAAATGAAAAACTCAACTTGATAAACTTTTCTGTGTTGGATAATTACTTCAATTTTTTATATAGTATGGGATAGAAATCTTTTCTTTGATCCCTGAGGAAATTCTGACTATTTTAACAAGAATAAATAATAACTTAATCAAAGTATTAAATTACTTTACTAAAACGAAATTGATCAATTTAAACTTTTATAAAAACTCATCTTAAACCTTGAACTATCTTGAACTATCAAAATATATATCTGATTTTATGAAAGGCGGCACACATTATCAATTCAGAGCTGCAAATTGTTTAAATGATAATATTTGCTGGCATTTTTATAGAATCAGTCAAAGTGGTTGGAAATGGCCATACACAACATAGCAAGTTCTGGCAAATTTAGTAGCGATCGAACAATTGAGGAATACGCCCGTGAAATTTGGGATGTTGAACCTAGTTTTGAAAAATTGCCTGCTCCACATGAACCAAGAGACTGATTTATTTAAACACTTCTAAAAGTATTTAATTATTTTAGTAATGTGGCAATTGATTTTGATTTAAAAAAAAATAAATCTAAAATTAGGATATAAAACCTTTCCATTTGGCATGATTTATTAACAAATAAAATGTTTCAAATATAATAGTATATAGTGTATATACATGTATTGTATACACTACGGTGTATATTGTCTTTTACCTTTATGCAACAAACATTGTGCCACATAAATAATAATTTATTTGTAATATATAAATAAATGTTTTTATAAAATATATATGGGATGATAGCCCTTAATAGATAATTTAATATTTTTGTAAAATAAATTTTTATTAAAGTATTTAAATTTATATTTATTACATTTGTATGGCTACATATTCTTATGTTCAGAAGGTTTTATTAGTCTTTTTCTATACAATTTCAATCAAATATTTCATATTATAGTTTTTCATTTATAGGATATTTTTATTTATTTAACATTATTATGGTCAATATATTGTTAAAGTATCATGGGTATAGCGACTAGAGTGACAAATAATTTGAATGAAAACTGGACATTACCAATCGAATCCAAATATTTCATGTCACGGGAAATAGAATGGGAATAATTTGGTATATGCAGTTGTGAAGTGCTATGAAACCATTCAGTTCTTGCTTATGCATTAAGGTTTCCAGATACAAATGCAGTGTTCTCATGTTATTAGTTTGAAATTATAGATCAGCTTTGTTATGTATAAATACAATTGACTATTCTTAATCAATAATTGACACAGTAACATAACAATTAACATTTTATATATTTAAAATATCTATTAACATGAGCATATAATTTTCTCTATTCTACATATGATTCTTTAGTTATATACAAGTATACAAAAAGTTTAGTATTATAAAAGTACTATATATACAAACATCAATATTTACAATATGGACAGTGCATTAGAATATACAAGGAACAAAGTTTTTAGTCGTCATCGTCTGGAATTTCAGACATTGATGTGTTACTATAGGGAACAACAGGTTTATTCAAGCAAACGGAATAAATTTCCACATCGCCTTGAATATATAAATATTTTGCAAGTGTGCAACTAACTCTTGAGCGAAATTCAGCTACAATTATGCCATTCACTGTTATTGTATAGAAGCCAAGATCAGCTTTAATTCCCATTTCGAAATACTTCCCAGGGCAAAAATTTTTAACTGGCGATCTTTCCTCGACGCCCCAAGAACCATTTAGCCACGAATTTCTGATAATTGTATGTACGCCACCCACTTCACCGAATCTATATAAATAAAATTATTAATTCATAATTATCTTATAAATTATATAACCAAACAACTAAAATTAACAAAAACTCTATAAAACTAACCTTGGGTTGATATGCAGAAGAATCTGTGGGTGTGGGTAGATATAAGCTGTACTTTGAATATTTATGAAAAATGAATGTGGCAGAATCTTTAATCGCCCTCGTATTTGTAGCTGCTTCCCTGCTAGGAACTCAGTTGGAATACTGGCCAAATACGGTACTGGCTATCAAAAAATCTAGTAAGACTATAGGATGTGTTTAAATGCAGTTCATGTTATTGCTTACCAAGTTTTCTTTGTTTGATGTTTGGAGTTCGTTTTCATTTTCACATTGGCTTTGTACGTCCAATATATCAGGCAAAACTTCCGGATAATAGTCCGACGATCTTTGCTGGACTCGAATATCTCGTACATCTCCAGTTACACGCACTAATTTGGTTATTTTAAGAGGTGCCCTGAAATGTGATTATGTTTATATTACGGAATTGAATATAAATTGAAAGTAACGTCATTTCATTATAAAAGATAATTGCTGTTCAACCTAGGTTATACAAGGTGGTGACCCTTAATCGATGGTGGATTGATAATCTAAGAATTTTTCATACTAACTGTAATTAATTGTCATGCAAGTAGAATTTTATTTTGTTTGTTCATTAGTAATGTATGCAGTCAACCCTCCCATAAGGTGGTACTCTGGAAACGCGGTTTCCATACTAAGCGGATCTGAAATTGCGATTGCTCTCCTACTGATCACACAGTATGAACCCTTTTTCTATAACACGGTTTTCAATCTACTACCCATAAGTTGCTTCCGCACAATCTGTGATTAACTATAGTAACTAGACATTGTTGTAGAAGATTTTATCGGCTATTTTATTATAACAATAGGTTTATAGAAACATGCTAGTTTATATGAAAGCTGTGTACGACATCGGGAGGTTTGGTAGTGTCAGTGATCTTTCACAGAAAGTTATAGTCTTTCTAAAGAAATTTCAGCTCGAAAAATTTGTTTGAAAACGAGTTTTAGCTTGGTTTTTGTTTATTTTCTTTAACGAAAGTAATTTATCTTGTTTTTTAACTTCCAAAAGAAGATGCTTATGTTTTCGACAAAAAGTCCGACTTGCTAGTTTTGTTTTCTCGACATTTTAAGTCATTCTGAATCGTTTGAAATCAAAATTTAAAAAAAATGTGTGTCTATATGTGAACAAAAATTTTACCTTTAGTATGCGTTTTTTTTCAAAAACATCTGCACCGATGTAAGAAATTTAAAAGCCATTTGACGATACTTATCGTCAAATCCTTAGTAAGTATCCGCGACGATCGGCAGGTCCGTTAATGAATTGTTGAAAAAATTGACGATTTTTTTTTATTGGCCTACGACAAGCGCTTTAAATATAAATGCTTATAAAAGTTTGGAGAAATGGGCCATGCTATTAGCCAAATAATATTAGGACATACAAGGCGCGTTGTTTTTTCGTTCAATATAATGTATATTTATCAAAAATAAATAATATGTGTTTAGCATTTTGTACAAAATTGAAGAATTTAAAAAAGTTTCTTACATTATGAACCCTACAACAATTCTGTCTACGTATAAATCACACAAATCATTAACTTCCCGAAGAGTTATATTGATCGCAAAAAATTTGAAAATGAAAATGTTTGCATATCTTTACGTTTCAAAGGTTCTGAACATTTTGGCATACCTCAGAAAAAATGGATGTGTGTGCATGTTTGGATACAATATTTCGTCCAAGATTGCGGGAGCGCAAATCAACCGATTTGAATGATTCAAAAAACATTCGATTCCTATTGATGGAAAGACTTGGTGGTGATTAGATTTTGGTGAAGGCGGGTCCTGCCGTTTCGAAGTAACGGGGAAAAAGTGCCAAGAATGGTAATTCAGTTTTTGAGGTAACGGAGCGCCCGATTTCAATGATTCAAAAAACATTTTACTTGTATTGACGAAATGAAGAATTGGTTAAACTTTTGGGAAAGCAGGTCCAGCGGTTTCGGAGATATAGAGGAAAAAGTAAATTAAAAAATATTTTGCGATCAAAACTGATCATTAGACATAGGCACCTCAAATTATCAGATATCTTGTAGAGATTTTAAACAAGTGGACTAATTTTGTTACAATTTTTTTGGGTTCCGTACCGAGATCAAACAAAATTCAAAATTTTCAGATATTTTTTTCAAAATTTTCGAAAATATATACAAAGTTTTATACTTCAAATATAAATATTAAATTTACAATACAGGTTAATTATGTAAATATTTCATATGCGCTATTCTAAAAAATATATCCTCAGATGGATTCATTCGGCATCTCTGGTTAATGTAAACATTCTTGTTTTGTGCGATAAGATCGTCACTGTATATTATATAAACGATACTATATAGTAACTGATTTATCTCAAAAAATTGTTATCAATCATTAATCAATATTTATTGATTATTGATATCTTTCAATAATTTTCAATTAATTCTGGTACGGAAAGTACCAGCAATTTGTCTTAAGGCACGATGCCAAGCACCACTAGTTTTTCATCAAAGCTTACCTAAACGCGAAACCACAAAAATGTTCGCCGTTGACAGCAACTAGATAATCATCTTTAGCAACGAATATGGTGATGACAAACTCTGCGCCTCGTCTTATCGTGAACGGAAGGGCCGATGCGGATTCTTCCTGGCCCCACTCGCCGGTGCGCCTCGAGTTGCGAGCCACGTAGTTTTGCGATAGGCGCGGATTGAAATGAAACGCGATGTCCTCACCTGCTTCGCCCGAACACAAGTTTATTGCAAACCTGCAATAGTAAAATATTAATAAATGACTCGTTCAATTATTTTTTGTTGATTAAATTTCGTCTTAATCAATTGTTGATTTAAAATGAACATAATCGAGAAAATACATTTCAAAATGGAAGTTTTTATTACATTAATATTGATGTTCATTTCAGTGCTGCATTTTCTATGAGGAATTGTAGAACAAATTGCGTTTGAACTTTTTTTTTTATCACGGACGCTTTCCACGCTGATTTTTTTATAACTTCCCGTAGGGTAAGCTATTGTAATCGTCCATATATCGAAATTGAACATTTTTGCATAATTTCACGTTTTGAAGGTTTCTGAACATTTGGCATACCTTAGAAAAAATGGATGTGTGTGTGTGTATGTATGAATACAATTTGCTTCGGGCGCACGGATCAACCGATTTGAATGTTCAAAAAACATTCGATTCCTATTGATAAGGAGATGTGCTGATTAGTTTTTGGCAAAAGTCGATCCAGCCGTTTTGATGTTACGGAGCAAAGAGTGCAGAAAATAGAAATCGAGTTTTTGAGTGAACAGAGCATCCGATTTCAATGATTCAAAAAACATTCAATTTGTAATGATGGAGAGAAGTAGTAGTTAGTTTTTGGCAAAGGCAGGTCCAGCCGTTTTCGAGATACGGAGCTAAATGTGAAAAAATGGCAGTACGTGTTTTTTAGAGAAATAATCATCCGATTAGAATAATTTAAAAAACTTTCTGCTTGTGTTGACGAAACGATTATTTTGGGAAAAGTTTTCTTTTCAATTTTTTTGTTTAATTTCAAAAAAAAAATGAAAATATAAAATAATTCGGATTTTCAAAATTATAAATCGGTACGGGAAGTACCAGCAATTTGCCGCAAGGCACGATGCCATACACAACTAGTTTTTATCTACAAACTGAACATTCAGTTTATAATACAATGTGGAACTAAAATAGGGTAATATTTTAAATTTTGAGTTGTTTTTCTAACATGGCATTAATTGAATATATTTTTTGCACAACTGACAATTGTAAATTACCAAATTTGCTAAATGTCCTACACATTTTTTTTATTTATTGTTTCAACAGCACTACAAGTTGTTTCTTGAAGACTTATAAGCTAATGTTTCACGAGACTTATGATGAGAGGCAACCCATCGGTTTACCATTCTGCTATTACCTCTTACGTGTACTAGTTACGCAGGGGCTATGTTACGTAAAGCTTCTCATACAAAGTAGCACTAAATACTGTCAAAATGTATTTGCCGTGCGATCAGGCGTTATTTACACATAAACTGTAACTGCACTCATAAGCCATATCACAAAGATGTATGAGAATAGCTACGTAACATAGCCCCTACGTAACATTAGAATATTTTACGGCAGAATCGGCCCCTGAATGCTGCAGCTATAGCCACGAAGCGCGATTTCCACTTGAAATTATATTGACCTATAATCCTATAATCTCAAGTAGAAATTTGATATCAAAGCTGCCTGATGTCGGGCATTAACGGTAGCAATAATCGAACCCGGAACTACTTGCCCAAATAATAATAAAATTAAAAAAAAAAAAACTTTTTATGTACATACATAGTTGGGATAGGAGTTTAGGTAAATATACCTAATTAGATTATATGTACTGTGCGCAACTCGTTAGTTTTTTGAATCTCATTTTGATACATCAGCGTTTGCAAGTTCCAAGAAGAAAAATGTTTAAAAATGTATGAAAGTTTTTAAATTCCATGATGTTATAATTAAAACGAAGACAACAACTGGTAAAATCTCATATAGATTAACTTATATAAGAACTGTTGCAGTGTCAACTTACTGCCGGCTAGTATGTGCAATTATGCAAGAACTAATAAGTTTTCAGTGAGATATTTAAGCCGTTTATGACTAAAGTTCATATTGTACACATATACATACATATTATATATATATATTCATATATATATGTGTGTGAGTATATGTGTACAGGTATATGAATATTAATCATTTATATCAGGATATGAAAATTAAATATTTATGATTAAATGGTGTAATGTAAAAATGGTGTTACCCATAACTGATTTATTTAAACATTATTTTTTATTTTCATTTCTTTATTTTTAGCTTAAATAATTAGTTCAAGTATTGTTGTATGAATATATTGTGTTTTTCCTAGTTGGAACTGCCAAATGACGTCCTACAGAATTAATTAATGACGTTCTACAGAATTAATTTAATATTTGTTGAATTTTTTATTTTCGAAGCAATTATTTTTATTAAATATATTAATAATATTCATTAGATAGACATTGCAAAAAGATATGATAATACCTAAGAATGACTAAGTACCTACAAATGTTATACTATTTTATGGTGAATGAACTCGTTTGCTATTACAATGGTGGTTCCAGTAGCCACCTTCAATGACCACATTGAAAAATACAAATTCATTTGAATATCGATTAAAAAAAAACTAGTGGGGCGCATGGATTCGTGCCTGAAGGCAAATTGCAGGTTAACATTTTTGAAAAAAATTTACTCTGAAAAATAAGATTTTTGAGAAACTATAAATTTTTGACAAAAATTGACTTTTTTTTGAAAAAAAAAGACTTTTTGAAGAAAAGTGTATTTTGAAATATTTTGGAAATTTTGAACTTTTTTTCAAAGCAATCGTACTGCGTTAGCTGCAGAGAGACGAAATATCGAAGCGCGTAAGCGCCGCGCCGCCGTCCAACGGATAAGCATTAGTACGGAACCCATAGGAATGTAAACAAAATTTATACTTATTGTTAAAATGTCTATAAAATATCTGATAATTTGATGTGCATATGTCTAATGATCATTTTTGACCGCCAGATGACATTTTTTTTACTTTTTTCACTAGATCTCCGAAACCGCTAGACCTGCCTTCATAAAAATTTGATCTTCATCTTGTTAATACAAGTAAAATGTTTTGTGAATTATTCAAATCGGGCGCTCCGCTCTCTTAAAAACTGAGTTACCGTTTTTTTGGCACTTTTTGCCCCATATCTTCGGAAGGCTAGACCCGCCTTCGCCAAAAACTAATCAGCACGTCTCCTTATCAATACGAATCGAATGTTTTTTGAATTATTCAAATAGCTTCATCCGTGTTCCCGAAATCGTCGACGAAAATTTGTATCCTCACACACATACACACACGCACACACACACATACATCCATTTTTTCTAAGGTATGCCAAAATATTCAGAAACCTTTGAAACGTAAAGATATATACAAATTTTCATTTTCGAGTTTTTTGCGATTACTATAACTTACCCTACGGGAAGTTAAAAAAAAATTGAATATCGATTATAATACAAACAAAAATAATAGAATATTACTGTACTGTACATATATTATTATTATTCATTACTTCTATAATTTTTATTATACGCTTTATTAAATCATCTTATACATTTTTATGATCATTACAACAAATTGAAATGGAAAGTGGGATGTCATTTGCTCTAAAAATTAAATTAGAGTTCATTCATCAGTGTGTATACAAAAAAATACAATATACAGTAATAGTACAGTCATTATAGTAAGTTCATCTCGGAATTCGAGATACCCAGCTGTAAGTCTGTAAATACTGTATACTGACACCCTAAAAGTTGTCTCAAAACCTACATATGGTAGGGTGTACGCAACATATGTATGTTTTGAGACAACTTTTAAAAGTCAATATACAAGTATTTACAGACTTACAGCTGGGTATCGTGAATTCCAAGATTCTTACTTAATTTAAGCTTAAATGACTGGACTATAAATGTTTCAATGGCAATAATTTTACCTTTCACTATCTTCTGGTAAATATCCTCGCACTTCAATGATCGATCCAGTTTTTAAAGGAGTGTAAAATTTTGAAACAAATTGAGGAATTTGAGAAACGTCTTCCTATAAATTAAAATAGAAATTAGTTTAAAAAAAGAAGAAGAGAATAGTATTTTTTTCTTAGCTACAAACAAAATTTATTAATTTATTAAATACAAACAAAATTTTGATTATTTATACTTTAACAAAAATAAATATTGAAAGTAATGTTTATAACAATAAATTTAGTAAACAATTTAGTAACAATAAAGAGGGAACTCTACTTGTAGAAATCAAAATTAAACGTACATTATAGTTTCGTTTTTCTACAATTTGTTTAAGCATACTATCACAACTAACAAATCGCATCACACAAAACTAAGTTATTATGAACCAAAAATAATTATTAAATGTTTTGGAAAGATGTTATCCAATGGAATTTTGGAGCAAATCATGACATCAACCGATTTCGCATTGATTTACATGTTTGAAGTTATAGTCTATTGAGTAAATAAATAAACGTCAGAAAATATGCTATTAACATGTATTGAAACGGTAAATAACGACTGTTTTTCAGTTATATATCACAAATTAGATGCGCATACTGTTTTTAATGGTTTGTATATTTTTATTTGATGATATATTGCAATATTAAAATTAAAACTTACTAATCTGTGATAGTAACTAACGTTGTTAGTGAAAAGCTCCCAAATGCATTGCTAATAAAATCTACAATCAGTTTGTAATTGAAATTCTAAAAGAAATTTTTCTAGTGAAGAAGTAATATAGCAATCATTGTACTGCTAGAGATAAATTATTACTATTTGAACATTTTTATGTAAAATAATAAAATTTTTGAAACCTTTTTCTTTCTTTTTCAAAATTACAATCTGTTACAAAGAAGTTTATTAATTTTGATAAAAGATAAATAAGTAAAAGGAAATGAGTCCACGGTTATTTCTAGCCAATTCGCGGTTGATAAATTTATTAATATGAAAAATCTAACTTAACATGTTCGTGGACAGTAGAAGTTTCAGCAAGGTATAAATAATAAATTGGTTGTGAAATCCAAAATTTGAATAAATACCGCTTATAAGGTATTATATCGTATTTTAGTCGTTATTTACTAAAAATGCTATAGCATCCACGTAAAATATTTTGCTTTTATTTTACGCAATTACTTGCCCAAGCAAATTACATTAGTGAAAAACATAAGATAATTCGAAAATACCTGAAAAATCAGCTAGTCATTATCTTGATAGGTGTAATAATTACAAAAACGTAAGGTTATATAAAATAAAATTCATAATAACTGATTTTAAAATTTGAATGCTATAGCATCCATGTCACAATGAAAATGAATGCTATAGCATTCACGACGTCCGCGAACGTGTTAACGCATATTTGTTAGGAAAAAGATAGGATAATACCTAAAAAATCAGCTAGACAGATATAATAATTACAAAAATGCAAGGTTATGTAAAAGACATAATAATTGATTTTATAATTTGAATGCTATAGCATTAATGTCACAATGAAAATGAATGCTATAGCATTCACGTCCGCGTGTCTTGAATGCTATAGCATTCACATTACGTATTGACGCATTTTTGTTTTTCGTGTAAATTTTCATAAAATTTACGAAAATATTAGCCTATGTACATTGTCCAAAGCCTGACATCAGGCAACTTTGATGTCAAATTTCCACTTGAGGGTGTAGATCTCAAATATAGCCTCAAGTGAAAATTGCCTCTAGTGGTTATAGTTGCATATATATAATAAAAATGTCAGCAAATACTTCGAGTATAGTTACTACTAGTCATAATTGGATTGGACAAAATGTCCTAAGTGTGACAGATTGTAATTAAAAAAATGTTAGAAAAAAACTATAAAAAATGTACATTGTATATATTACTGAAATAAATGAAAAGAAAAAAGGTTTACGATATTGCATGGATATCGAATATTCATTTAAATTCCGCGCCCAAATTTTTTAAGCGCAAGTAAGAAAATAATGAAGATTATTTGGATGTTATCATTACAATTAAGATATGAGTTGCTGGGAGGTTTGAATAGTACAAACAGTCGCGACAAATTAAATGCTTGAATTAGGATGAAGAAATTTGTACCGAACATCACCATGCAAAAATGTACAAAGCACATTGAAAATATTGAAGTAATTGTGTCCCTAGATTAAATTTTTATTGGCGCTATAGTAATTTCCACTATGTGAAGCAGACTAATTAGTTTCTACCATGACAAATCATCAATCATCAAATTATCAATGCAAATAAAAATATAAGGAACGATCACAATTGAATGTTACGCAATAACCCACTGAATCGTCCGTCGAGCACAGACAAGTCAGTCGTAAACTAGCATCCCCTGCGATTCGTCTAAATAATTCGTGAACTGCTTGTGCATAAACATCATCGAAAAGTGCATAAAACAAGTGAAAAAATAACTTTGTCAAAAACATCACTTCACAAAAGCACATATATAATTCAACACTTTTCACGGGTGCAATTAGCGCCGTTCATATATTAATTAATCACAGTGAAAATTGTTAAATTAGTTTGTTCCGCAACAATGTGGTCTGCATATTTCATTTTGAGGTTAGGACTTGTCAAACGTGGGTGAGTTCCCAAAATCGATTGTTAGGAGTCGTTACTACTTATGATACTATAAAAAGATAGACATGCGCACTTACAGATATCAAACGGGAAACACGATTCAAATAATTTGATGTGTGGAAATTTTTATTCATAATATTTCGAAACCATTTTAAACAAAAGCCGTAATCACACTGTAATGTGCTAATGTCATCATCGTCATTCATAGTTCCGATTCCTTAATTCTCAATACCACCAGTCCTTATATTATAAATACACAATATTCACTAGATTTTTTCTTAACACATTTGTTGTGCTTTTTGTGGTTTCCAACACTACGATCTAATTCCTAAGATTTTACGACCGATAATATGAGTACAATAATTGAAACTGATCGATTTGTGATTAGCAAGGTTACTTTTACTCCAATGTTTGTTATTATTAGAACGCTCGCATAGAAATAAATGTGCTATTAAGACCTCTGGAATTGCTAAATACTTTACGAGTTTCGCAAACATTACCGAAGGCAGTGCCATATGTGGTAAATATTAACTGCGTTGCGGCGGGTTTCGAACAAGTTTACAAATAATCATTTAAATGGATCCATATAATAAATATGTATGGTATTAGAAAACTGGAATCGATCATGTTATCAATGTAGCAGCAAATGCATTTTGAACGCCATCGCAGAACAAATTTGAGAAACAACTACATTTATATTTATAATTTTATAGGTTTTAATCGGAGGTCATTTAGACCAGACCCATATTACATTGTGTTTATTTTTATATTGTTGTAAATGTTCTTTGTTATATTGGTTTTTATATAATTCTTCACTTTTATAAAAAAAATGTAAAATGTTCTGAAGACATTCCATATCTCAGGAGAAATAATTGTAATGAAAAATTAATTTTACTTTTTAAAAACAAAAAGAAACGTGGGCCATAATTCTAAGTCTAAAAATATATTGTGCGTCGTGTATACATTTAAACTAGATATTTTTAGACATGGTTTCAAAATATTGAGTATCTTTTCCCGTTTTTGATGGTTTTATTTTAAGTTTCATATGAATCTGATAATACTTTTTTATTTTATACAAATAATTCTGTCGAACACTAACTTCTAGAGTTATGTGTACTAAGAGGTGTTATTTGTTGTAATTTCTTTACTTACAATTAGATTAGGAGAAGCAACTCAGTGATTGACCTTTCTGATGTAATTATTATTTATCAATTTGAGTTCTGTTTCTTTAATGATTACAGAGGATTCAACATCTTGCAATACAATATTGATTTTATTTACTTTTTCATATTTTTTTTTATTTTCTTATAAATTACAATCTGTATATATAGAAAGACATTAAGTAATTAATTTGATAAATAACATAGAATTTTAAGAGAAAAACCCAATGTCTAAATTAAGTTTTAGTATTATTTAATTTTTTAGACAGATTTTTGAATATTTTGAAAGAAAATGCCAAATATGATGTAGATGGAACGAAAATTATGAGATGAGTTGGTTAATGCATTAGTTGCGTTTATTCTTAAGAAGTTTCAACTGAAATTGTAGATGGAGGGATATTAGGAATTTTACTAGATTTTAGTGATTGCGACTGAGAAATAATAATATTACTTGAAATCACATTTTAAATCCAATTTTAGCTGATAATTGATATGAAAAGTGTAAAATTGTTTATCCATACATATTAACTTAAAATCTGAATTCGATTTTAAATTAATTAAATTAAAAAATAGAAAAATATTGTTGGGGAATCGTGCTAATGAGTTAAAAATAGGCCTGTTCGTTTTTTTCGTATTTTATTTTTGTTTTTTTTTTTTTTTAACGATTTTGATGAATTGTTTTATGTTCATATGGTCTATAAAAACATACTAAAATATTACTGGCCTCTACGAATAATTTATTAATTTCGAAAGTTCATCAAGGTTTGCAGTAATCATGGCGATTTTGTGATGTCAACGAAGTTTCGAATTTCGACGTTTTTTCAAAAATAACTGAACTAATTTTCGAAGATTCGAAAATCATTTGATGATTAGTTTTACTAGACAATGGGTCAAGCCGTTTCTTTAAAATTAGCAATTCCTGAATCGATTTTTTGACAATTTTGTTTTGTTAGTCTGACTAATATTCTATTATTCTAAAATATTATTGTGGTTAAATTATGAACATTCATTAAAGTTTGGAATAATAAGCCACGCTCTTAGAGCACAAAATCTCGTTCGTGCATTTAAAATAATTCAATTCATTTACTGATGTTGATGACTAAAGTTTGTTTGAAACATATCAATTAAATATCGCATTGATTGGTTTTCAGTAAATGTTAACACTTTATTGTCGAAATAAATAGTTGAAATTTTTAATCTATATAGCTCTTCTTTCCCATTTTTTTATTGATTAAATCGATTTTCACACATATCGAGATGTTTTTAAAACTTGTCTCAAAACAAAATGTCA